TCGTTGAAAAAACTGAAAATACTTCTGACAAAGCAACGAATTGATTGATAAGTTATCCAAATATAGCAATTATTATTCATAGACCGTGTTTTATATGAATACCATAAATCTGCCAGAAACGCATCAGTAATGGCATTTGTCATTGCGACACATCTTTTTATCAATGTGCATTACACTCGAAAGGGCACGTACATAGCATGGAAATATCATGTTCATTATAATAGAAGCACTGGTTCAACAACAATTAGGTCTAGATCGTTTTTATCTTTTACATATCACAGTTAATTCGCCACTCCCGAAACTGTAATATGTATCATGATGTTTGAAATAGATTCGTCTGGTTCATAATACTACAATGTTCACTAATATGTCAGAGTTTTCTACCGAAGAAATTTCAATCTACTCTGACAGTATTCTGTAGAATATGATTTCTAACTGTATGATATTCCAATGTCTGGTGTGATTGAATTTACGTTTACTACTATGTCAGGGTTTTCTACGGGAGAAATATCCAAGACAGTTTTCTGTAGGTACATGATTTTTAACTGTATGATATTTAAGACAGTTATCTGTAGAATATGATTTCTAACTGTATGATATTTCAGTGTCGGGTGTGATTAAATACATGTTCACGGTATGATCAACGTCCTCTTATGAATTTTACGGGAGACAAAAATAGATCTGTTGAAATATTTTGGGATCTACGTCCGTTCTCTCCCCGTCTAACATCGTTTTCGTTTCCTAACGCCTTACGTGGCAATACCTCGTTTTCGGTTTTGGCGTTGAGCGCTTGCCAAAGCACGGTAGGCTGTAGATTCTGTTAACACATACTATTTTAGCAAACTCTTATTATACTGGTTTTGGGCAAAACAGGCTTGTTCCTAATTTTACTGTTCACTACACACACTTTTTGTCACATTGGGTACTTTTTTATATAAAATAATAATGTGTTTTAGTCTAATGTCAAGAATGAGTTTTGGAATATTTGACAAACAAGAAAACAAACAAATGTACATTTTATTTTGTTTTGAGAAAATTAGATATATGCACTTAAATATTTATTGATTTTGATCGCATTTTACTCTTTTTATTTTTGGAAAGAGCAAGTAATATTCAGTTATTATTATAAAAATAATGGCAGAAATGCAAATGGATATTTCATAAAGAAATTAGAAATGTGACATTTCGGGTTTGACTGCACTTTAAACATTAGTTCTCGATGTGCTATAATTGAAACAAACATTTTGGCCGATGGTCAATGTACAGGGAAGGGAACACAAATAAAAATAGTACACAAAACTATACAAATTTTAACTTGTGCTGACACCGATCATTTTGAAGGTCGAAATAAATTCGTTTAGTACTCCTGACCTTGAATGGTTAGTTCTCTACGTACTAAGCTCTGACAGACCAAATACTGTCTGCATAGCTAGGCTAATATGATATTTATAACCTGTGCTTTGTAAACAAATTAATATTGAACATAGCAGCGTATGTTATTGGACTGCAGTTTAGGTAAACAGACCCCCGCCACTGTGTAAACAATCTGTCGTTCTCTGTGCCCTCTTCTCTCTGATTATCCAATTAATCTGTCTACTAGGATGTGTGTCAACTGTATCCTGTTTCATGGGAAGAATAATTGGGGTCCGGGTTCCTGAACAGGGCAATACACTAATATATAGTGGATATCTTTGGTATCGTAGACATTTCGTTAATATCGTGTTTAACTAATGGGCGCAAAATAATCACAAGAACACAAACTAAGAGACCACATACTTAAACACTTGATTAGGAAGCCAAAAACAGTAAACGTTTACCACCCAATATGGCCATTTCATCCAGGTAGAGCGCTCATCAATGGTATAAAACATCAAGATTGAAAAACCTCGACCAAAAATGACCCAAAATGTATAGGAATATAACAGATGGGGAAAAGTGCCAATAAACCTTTTATCAGGTTTCTTGTGTACAAATTTGGGCTATAGAAGACATTTTGTACATAATATATGTAAACCTTGCGATAATGCATTCAATGTACAAACGCTTGAACAGGTGTGGGTTTTTTTTTCTGAACGCTTGCACCTTGTTATATATACTGCACGTGTAGTTCTAACGTGATCGGGGCTGTCAACGTAAAACTTGAAGAATTCCACAACAAATCTATTTTCAAACTATTATAAATGGGACGCCCAGAGAACATGGGGTTTTAAGTATTTTTTTCTCTCTAAAAATAGAATGTTTTTGAAATTGCTCACGCAGTTGGACAAATATTTTATTTTATTTTTCACATGTTTTTAATGTCCTGCATAAAAAGTTGACAGTTTCGATATCGATCAAATTGTGATTTCAAAACATCTGATAATTTTTTTGAAGAATCTTGAAATTTCCCTCATTATTTAAAATAATGGATGTTAAAGGTTTTGACATCCCTACCATGAAAACAGCTATTCCTCATATCTCGAGTATTTGGCATATCGCTCCTTTGTGCCTAAAATTAGCCAACATATATACAATATCTTGTTGGCATCAGAAACGAATCTGCTTTAAACAGACCACTGCTAGCACGTCAAGGTACAGGAAGCATGATATTTTAAGCTTGCCTGTTGAATATGATGGGGATCTGTTTTACCAGACTTTTGATAGTTCATGGGGATTTTATTGCGCATCAGCCGATCTATTTTTGTATTGTTATGAAACTGTTATATACTTAATATACTATTGATATAATATTATATTGCTACTTACCGACATTTTACATTTCATTTCCAAGTATATTGCTATTTTGTTCTTGTATAAAAAAGAAAATGTACAACTACTTATATCTCATTAACTTGCATTACCTGACATTGAAACTAACGTGGTCTTTTTATCTTGATATTAACACTGCAACATCTATCTGTTTCGTCGGTAATGCTGGGGGACAAAACAGAGAGCAATCTCACCGTGAAGGCTAACTACCAAGGATGGTTGACCTTTAACCTTACGAATGCAGCCTCGCATTGGACGTAAATGCTAGGGGACAAAACGTTAGATATCCAAATGATCTAAACTATAGTTGAAACAGTTGGCAGCCGCGTAAAATACCTTAATTTATGATTAACTCTACGACAAAGGTTACGGCTCGAAATATAAGCCTCTCCTGCCTATGGAGTTGTTTGCATATCGCGGTCGATTCACTACCGCAGAGCTTGTTTGGATAGATGTGCCCTTTTGACCCATCAACTTTTTAGCCGGGGTTTTCCACTAGAGAGATGTCAATGTACACCTGGTTTCGCTTTTGGCTTTTGTATGGAGTCTTAACTCATTCACCCCTAAAGACACATTTGAACTCTTCCAATGCAAAGGTTGGAATAGTTCATTATGAAATTTCAGGGGTGAATGAGTTAAGCATACAGCGTAAACGAAAAGGAACCAGTTTATAATCCCAGGTTTAACGGCAACCCCTGATTATACACACCTTAGCATAATGGCAACCAAATAAAAACATTCGTCACCTATCAGAGCGTTAAGGTGAAATCTAAAATAACCTTGCCAAGTCCTTCAATTTCAGATAGATTGAGCTCTGTTTAAAAAACAACAACAACAAAAATTTACTGACAACGTCAATCGTAAATACCCTCCTCCTATATTTAAAATTATAGATACTACAGGCTCTCCTCCATCAACTGCTTTCACCGATCTAAGCAACAAGGACGACTTACTTCTAAACTGTAAGATAATCGCGACGATTGTGATGCCTCCAAACGTGAACTCTCTCTTTCTTGCTAGTCACATCCTTGCTTTCCGAACCTTCAGTGCTTACATGTTGCAGATGAATCGGTATATTCAAGAGCTTGCTCCGAGTATCATGATTGACTGGTGACAAACTTAAAACACAGTCTTTCTGGAGATGAAGGTTAATGAGTATTCAGTTTTATAGTCGCTATAATTTTGTGGGGTTCATAATTTCATGTTAAGCGAAGTATGCTTTTGAAACCATACAATTTCAGTTTATTTGTTTGACTCAGACAATTGATGAAAGTCACATGACCACGTTATTAGTTTGTAGTCAAGCTAATGAAGGGACTAATTAAGATACAAGTTCATGAAGATTATTAAGTTAAATGGTCGTTTTTATATCACTGAGAAGTATCATGTCTTCTTGCAAGATATGAAAGTCGATGTTGCTTAATAGAGTGTCAACACATTGCCTTTGCCCCTGTTCCCACATTGAGGTACTGGCACACTTCGAATTGACTTAGATTTTCATGTTGTGGGTGAAGCAGAAAACGCTCACCTTTACGAAAAAACATGGTCTTAATATCTTTGTTCTTTTTCAGGGGTTTAAGTGTAAATACTTTTAAATTTTTAAATTTTGCCCTATTTTCATTTTGTTACAATATCTGTTGTGTTCACAGCTCTGTGTTCTCTGGTTTATAACTTCTGTGTCTTTTCTTTTGCATTAGTCAGGTTCAAAGTGAATGATAGGCTATTTGATATAGAATAACAGGAAATGATATGAAATTACATTAACATGAAAATATGTTATGATAAGACTGTTTTATCATAATAACCTGTTAATAGATCACGTTATGTATAGTTCTTATGATCACGTTAATTTCTTCAAGGCTAGACTAAATAAGGCACGTCCAAAGCCAATGAGGTGTTGTGAGATTTAGAAAGAGAAACTACAACTGGCGGAATATACATTAAAACAGCAAAGGGTCGGATAATGAAAAAAGAAAACTTGGTAGATGTACAATCGATCAAATCTGTGTTTTCGACGTAAACATAAGACAGCATGAACTTTAAAAGAAGGGGAAAATATAAACAAAAACAAAAAAGTAGCAAAATATAAACACAGCCTATATTAATAAATATATTTTCCTGAAATATACCAATTACGAAGGTTTATTTGGTTGTATCATGAAAGGAATCTACACGAAAGCCATGTGGCATGATATGAAAGATAATGAAAACAACAGATCCTAACTTGTTCCCCACCTGCTCATTACTTTCAGGTGTATCTGCGTTCCCCCAGCCCGAGGAGGTCTGAAGCGGAAGCAAAGCCACGAATCTTCACATAGCATCCAGCGGATTATAGCGGCAGCTGGCCTCGCATCAAACGGTACTGTATGGGGGTATCTAAAGGGGATTTGTTTACCAATAGTCACATATCGTAAATTATGACAGACGTAAAAAAATGTTCCCATCCCTCGGTACAGTTGGGGGTTACTGAAGAGATTTTATTCACCAATAGAGCCATATCTTCGTGAATTATGATACCATGGTATCATAAAAAGGATCTGCATCAAACGGTACTGTATGGGGCTACTGAAGACATTTTATTTACCAATAAAGCCATATATACTCGTAAATTATGACAGTCATGATATAAAAAAGCATAACATCAAAAGGTACCGTATGAGGCTTGTAAAGATATTTATTATCAACACAAAGCCATATATTCGTATGTGACAATTCTAAAAATGTTTAGTGCCATCATACGGCTCCGTATTGGGGTAACTGAAGGATTTTTATTTTACAAATATAGCCATATGACAATCGTGATCGGGTTCAGTGTCATCGTACGGTGTAGTAAGGGGTTACTGGGGGTTGTTTTACAAATCACGATGGCAATGAATGGTGACAATCATGGTCAGAGGTCAGTGACATCGGACAGTACCGTAATAGGTTAATGAAGGGGCTATGAGTACAATCAAAATAATGTTACATATAAATTACGACAGTTAGAATGATTTCACGTCACACGGTGCTGTATGAGGTTAATACAGGGGCTACAATGATAGATAAAGCTATTAATGTGTAATTTATGACAATGATTTGAATGGTTTCGTGTCACATTGTACCATAGGAGTTTAATGAATGGGTTATATAACAAATAGCGATATAAATATAGGATCTTACATGAGTTTCCATTTCATAGGGGTGATTTATGAAACGAGTCTTAGGAATTTTTCAGGCGAGCTGAAATGAAAAATTCGTGACGAGTTTCATAAATTTCATATGAAATGAAATCGAGCGTAAGATCATTTTTTATCACATAAGCAAAATGTGTGTTATTTATTTGTGTAAAACGACAATTTTCATGCAACCTTGAAATGTAAAAAGCCGCCATAGTGCGTTAGTCTGTGACGTCATGAACTTGTTCTAGGCGTGACGTCACAATTGAAACAATTGAAACTTACAACCAATCACAGGGCTGATAGGTCATATTGCATGGGTTAATACGCAAATTGCATTATGTGATAAAAATTGAAATGGTATGACCATTGTAAAATGAAAGAAAAACTCTTTTTGATTGTTGTATTGAGAGAAGAATACTTTGAATGGAACTCCTCTGCATTATTACGGATGCAGTGGTTACCTTCACTTAAAAAAATCCTCTACCCGAGGGGTGATGATTTTTGGTTGTCTAACCCGAGGCTCTGCCGAGGGTTAGATAACCAAACAAATCACCCCCAGGGTTGGGGATTTCTCTATTTCCCCCTGAAGTTAGAGTATGATTATTTTTTCTCCTATCCTTTTACTTTAGTCACAACTCCATCGACAGTAGTGTAAACAAAAACACATGTGGGGTATGAATGTCGTCATTCATTTTTGATGACGTCACAATTACCGGTGACACATTTTAATGACGTCACAATTGAACACGTGCTAATCGGCATGAGGCTATCTCCTCCTAGGGGGAGACAAGCTGATCTTTCTCGGTTGAAACGGGAGTCACACATGTGTTTCACGAGAGTATGAAATAACATGAGTGAATATTTTTTTCCAATCCATTAATTGACACAAAGGAGTAATTAACACAAGATCATAAAACCTGAATAGCTGAATACATATTTAGTAATTTCATTCATTTACACGGGAGTGTTTATTATGCCTTGGTTAAGCTATTCGTATAGTTACATAAGATGTAATAGAGTATTGATGTAATAGAGTATAATAATGTAATTGGTTTTTCGAATTTTGAGATTATGAAAGAAACCTCATTTATAGTTAAAGTGGACATTTTTACACAAGTTAACTTCCAAAAATTATTAGCAGTGTCGATCTTTTCGCGTTTTATTTTTGACGACTTATCAAAGACCAGTCAATTTTACCACAGACTTAGGACTTGTCGTTACCTCGACTTGACTTAGATTTACATGGATGGTGTTGTCGATGAAGCAGAAGACGTTTACCCTTCTGGAACACCTGGTCTCCTTGTAATTGTTCAAGGATCTCCGTATAAATCTTTCCTTTGTTCTATATCGATGTTTGGGTTCGAATTATGGTTTAGTTGACACTTTGTTATTGCCCTATCTATTGCTATCTAAGTCCGTGATCTAATACCATCATAACATTTGTTGCTATCGTGAAACGATGACCACAAGGGACATAATTCTGATGGATGTAAGCAACACCAACCAGAAGGAACAGTTATGCATCCTTTTACAAATCGATAGACACAGACTCATCAAACAAATTTTTGAGGGCATTTTGTGAATATTTAGCGCCCTTTTGTTATTTTTGAGTGTTAAGAACATAAGGGGAAATGTGCATATTTTCGTTTTCTTCGTTTGGTTTGGTTCAATTTTGTTTAACGTCTTATTAACAGTAAAGGTCATTTAAGGACGTGCCTCTGTGGGTTTAGTGTATGCCTGCTTGCGTTTGTGTATGCAGGAAACATGGTATGTTGGTGTGCAATTGCCTCCTTGTGATAGCGCGGATCTGATGCCAACTTGATAGTGCTACCTCACTGAAAGACAGACACCCAGCACAGCATTCCGCCCGGTCACATTATACTGCCAACGGGTGAACGTTTGCTGCAATGTTTCAAATACAAGCAATGTATTATCTTGACAATTTTCCTTTAAAACACATATGAATGCATTAAACGTTTTACAGGCCAAATCAAAGACGTTACCGCTTTTTGAACCCTATCCAGTTTAAGTAGTACATCATTCATTTGTTTTTCAAAATCAATTAAAATCATTAAGGTTGAATTCATTCTTGAAATTTCTAAGAAATGGGATGGCATTCGCTTTATAATATATGCAATATGATGAACTATATTTATCTTGGTGTTTAAATGAAATCGCTAGATGTAACTCAATTTAATATAACAGTATTTAAAAAACACAATGAGACGCCAAATGCATCTTCATTAAAAACACCGGACTTAACCGAAATGCAATAGAAATGTAAGAAGATAGTAAACGGCGTCGAATTACAAATAAAACAAAGCTCAGTGAAACAAAATCAGTATTTTAATACAAGAAATAAAGAATACTAGTTTTAAATTAATTGTCCTTTCCGTGGAGTGGTGATCAGCATGGACAATGTGAGAAGCCATTGTTGTTTACATTGTTAGATCGCACCTAGCGGCATAACGTATGGCAAAGGGGAAATAACTCGTACGTGCCCGGACACTATGTATTTTGGACGGGAAGGCGCACAATGAACTTTTGTGATAGGACATTAGTTAAAGAAGGTCGTAAGGATTCGAACTGACTATTCTAAGGACTTGAGTATCATCATTTTATTTTAGGTTTTGGGAGATTCCCGAAATATGATCTAGTTTGCTACGATGTTTTTTGGAACGGCCATGTATCATCTATGCTTGTTTACTGGTTTTGCATAACTCATTCACCCCTGGAATCAAACAATAAACTGTCCAACGCATGGTCTTGGATGAGTCTAAATGTTACTGTAGGTAAGTAAGATATTGATCAGCTTGCGATATTCATTCCCTCTGACATGTCCTAGCTGTGCTGGGAACACATGCTGATATTACAGAGTTGAGACAAATTGATCCCTGAGTATTACCAAACGTTGAATGATACAATTAAATGTTTTCTTATTGAATGGAAGGCAGTGCAAAGAATGACGGAAATAAATGCACGAATGTAAGAACCAATTCGTATCTGTACATCTTCGGATATCAATATGTTATCAATGTTGTCATGTTGTGGCTTAAAAAAAGAAGCAATAAAAAGTGAGCAGTACAAATGATTTACGGCAAAGTTAAGATTATATGTTTCGTAATCAATATTCATTTATGAAATATCGACGTATGATAAGGAAAAACGTAAATATAAACAAAACCAGAATTCGAAGCGTGACGATTTCGATTTTCCGTCGTTCAACATTCCATTTGTTGAAATGACAAGCTATTGAGTTATTGTATATTTAATGTTTTTTTATATACTTATTTACCTTTCAGTTCTGTCATTATAACACAAGAAATGACAGCCTTTAAATCAAAGTGAACACCAAACGCCAGTCTGTGTTTACTTACTCCTATGTCTAAACTGTACTCAACGATCTATATGATATGAAGCTCTGACGACAGACTAATAGAATCTTCCCCTACGTTGAGGGTGTGACAGAGAAATCTCCATCCCGAGGAGTGATGTTTTTTTTTTTATTGTCTAAGCAGAGACTCTGCCGAAGGTGAGATATTTCTATGGTCACACCCTCAAGGTAGGGGATGATTATTTTTCTCCCATCCTTTTATTTCAGTTACAACTCCAACGACAGTAGTCTGCCATGTTTGTAAACAAAAACACATGTGAGGTATGTATATCGTCATTCACTTTGATGACTTCACAATTACTGGCGACACATTTTAATGACGTCACAACCTCCCCAAAGGAGGTGGCAAGCTGATCTTTCCCAGCTAAAACGGGAGAAACACCTGTGTAGGGTGGGAGAAAAAGCAGTCAATAACTTCCTACTTCCCGACAAAAGGACTAGACTTACTAGAAAACTACGGAAACCTTATTTATACATTTCCATTTTGTTCGAAAAACGAATTACTTGCTAATCATGCTGCTAATACCACCAAAGCTGGTTGATCATAGGAATCAGCAACAGGAATCATCATAGATACTGTTTAGCACTAGCTCCGCTCAAACGAGGAATCATCCCCTAGCTTCTTAATAGCAACCCTGTTACGATTTTATCAAAGCTGCAGTCCTATTTTGACACTTTGTACTCCAAAATGGAATCAACAGATCCTTTGATCAACAATAGTTTTATAAAAAAGCAATCTTGAACATTCTTTGCTCAAAAATTATCCTTCCTCCAAACCGGTCACATTGTTCTAATACAGGGGCTTAT